TTTCTCCCTGCAGAATTAGCACTGCCCAGAGATAAGCCTCCACTATCCTTCCTCCCCCACCTTAAAAAAAGAAAAAAAGAAAAAAAAAAGACAGACTTCTTCCTGAGAAAAGTTAAACCTTCCCTTTTCTTTTTAGGACATTCACTGAGTGTTTTTTGTAGAGAGGGAACTGGTTGCTGTAGCGAGGTTATGTGCTGTAGGAGAACCTAGCTTCCTTGAACACGTCACGTAAAACTCTTCCTTGTGCAAACCAAATAAATCCTTTCCCATATTTTCCTGAGCTTTGAATTGTACTATAGATCCCCGGCTGGAAGCCAGCAGAGATGTCCTCTAGACATCCACAGTGAGAATTACACTTTGTGAAATCCCAAACTGAAATTTCAAATAATTCTACCATTGCTGTAACAGAACGGTTTTAAGTAGCCACTGACCTCAGATGTTTTTCTTCTTTTTTGTGGCAAAATGGGAGAAGATTTTGTTTTCTAATAAAACAACTCATTCAGAAGGTAGTCAAGAAAAGTATCTGCAATTCTGAGCATTTTCTTCTGTCTTGAGTGACATTACATCTTCTAGGCCTTTAAATGACTTTGACTCATTCATACATGGAGAATTAAGAAAACCATAAGGAAGTGGAACATCTGCATATGCATCCAGGCCGTCACAAAAGACCTCAAATAACTGTAGGCTGAGTAAGGCGCTATTACTTGCCCCACAGGTAAATACTTACTTTTTGGAGTCTTACGTGAAAATGGCTAACAGCTATCTTTTCAAATAGGCTATGAAATGATCCTTGAGAAATTGAAGGGTCTGAAAGCAGTGAAGTTCTCCTCAAGCCAAGACCTTTTCTATAAAACTTTCAAAAGACAAATCACTGGAAGAGATGGACAGCAACGAAGGAAGGGATAACTGCTGTACATCTGAAGCAATAAACTCTGTAAGAATTACTCATTTATCAAGAACATGTAATATTAAGTATTTTAAAAAGACAGTTATGTTTCTTAAAAGATTTCTTCCATTTCACATGGGTATTGAGAAGACGGAATGGAAACAGAATGAAAGATGCAGATTATTTTCCTAAGTACCTCTAGAAATATCAGGAAAGCACAGAACAAGCAAAAGGAAGAAGAGAGTATTTTCTCTCGCTTTGTTGGGCAGGAGAGGGAGGAAGCTTTTAAAAATGAGGAACTGTTATTTGCTCTTGGCAAGAAGGAACCTTTATTCTTATGAATGACTGATTGAATCATTTAATTAGTTGTGATTTAAGAGAATTAAAATGTTAGAGAGAAGGCTGGCAAGGACTTCAGATGATTAAAGAGATGCCCCAGCCACAGCCACTCCAGCAAAGTAACATCTTAAGTAAAAATTTCTATAAAACAAGAGAAAATGAACTGTTATTTCCAAATTGTGTGTTTTAACTATGGCATTCCAAAAAAGCACTCAAAACAAGAATTCGTGTGGGTCACGAATTTTCTTCTTCCAAAAGTTTGTGGGTCAAGGTCATTGTGACAACAGAAAGAGAAACTAAGAGTTGCTGTAGCTCAACAAATCATCTAAAGTTAAACGGTATTAAGTTCTTCCAGTAAATACAACTATTCACTTTCCAAAAATGGCTTGAATAGAGGTACTGAGAAAGATGCGACTGCCTATACTTGCAGCTGCACAAAAAATGGCAGTTTCTATGGCTGAGACTTAACATCGGTCAGAAAAAAGGACCAAAGACTCATTTCAATAAATTGTATCATTTTCAAACCCAGACTATCCCAAGTACTAACCAGTGAGCTAAAAAGGGCAAGATGACAATGAAGAGTGTGGTTTGGCAGTGACAGGAGAACAAAATATGTACTTTACTTCCAAGAAGCAGGGTGCAAAGCAATGGGCTGTCAAACAGATCATCCAATTCAGATAAGCCAGCTGGAAATCTACAGTTCCACAAGCCAACATATTTGTGTGAAAGCGGAGAAGGAAAAACATGCGGAACAAAGATAGCATACAGGCAAACGAAGGTATAGTTTAGGAGGACTGACTGGAGAGGAATGGGTCATCGGAAAGGTAATTTCTTGTAATTCATTACTGCTGCCCATCGGTATGCTGTATCGGTCTGAGCTGGAGGGAAGCAGAACGCTGCAGAACTAAGCTAAGAACCCAGTTAGGAGAAAGCTCGGTGCTCAGGGTGGTGACAGAAGGCAAGAGAAAGTGGAAATTCAAAGGGAGCCAGATCAACTCTTTTGAAACTCAGATTCTATCAGACTATTGGGAAGTTTTCACATCCATAATGAGAATCAGTTTAAATAAAAGTGGAACTACGTATTGCAACCCATCAGTGAAAGAGTATAATAACAAAAAATCTTGTCTGAAGTCTGTGTAGCAATGCAGAAAATGTACTTCCTATAAAAGTACCATCAACATATCTGAATAATTAATTCAGAAGTAAAAGCAGCTTCAAGGTTAGCAAGGTTCTTTCAATGCCCTTTGAATAATTTGCAACATTCAAGAACTTCTGGTACAAAGGTGCATTTGGAGCTGTATGGCACGTCACACTTACATGATCTAAGCATCCATAGAAATATATGGAACAGTAAACCTAACTTCCTACAGGAAAGCAAAAATCAAAAATACTCATAATTGTGTCATGAAAACTAAACCTAATTTGTGTTCTGAAGAGGTGGAAAACTAGAAACATGGAAAGGCATATATTGCATTTGGGTGGTTCAATGATATGCAAAATACTTACGAAAGGAGCTTTTAAAAGCACGCAGTTTGGACCTGCGAACCTACAGCACGAGTTCTGAAATGAACAACACACTGAAGCCTGGTGTCAATTTAAATGCACTGAACACCAGAAAAATGCCCCCAACTAAGGCTTCAAACTTGTACAGCACATTTCCACTCAACCCAACTAGATTGCCTGTCACATCTGACATGGCTTGTCAAAAGTTATCCTTCACTGCTCATGGGCAACATGGAGGGTCAAAAGACCAAATACAATGGTCCAACCCAGCCCATTTTTTTTCCGTCAGAGCAGCAGATATTGAACTCTAAGATGACAAGACAGAGCAGGTTGAAACGGCTGCCAAAGAAACAGAAGCTGTCCAAAGCCGCTGATCTGAAGGAGAAAAACTAGCCTATCTGTGCATGTCATGGCTGGGGATCAGATACTGACAATCTCGCACAAAAGCAAGGAAAAAGCCGAGGAACTTAAAGCATCCTTTGCAAACCATTTCAGCTGTTACAAAGAAAAAAAGATACACTCACAGGATAATTTGAAACATAAGTGCTAAAAGGAAAGAAGAACGTATGTCATTTCTTTAATCTAAATCTATATCACAGAGAGGGGATTTTTTGGTCTTCAAAAAAATTTGAAATTTTCGGGGTGTCTTTCTAAAAATAAACTATGAATGAGAAACAGAAGCTTGCAATAAAAGCCTGAAAAAACTAACAACCTTTCTAAAGAGGCTTAACATCTTTATCAATTGTTTCAGTAAAGAAATTTGCTAACTGTCATAACAGGAATCATTACATGTTAATTTCTGCTTATGAAAAAGCAATTTATTAACAGATGCAAAGAAATTTGCCATAAGCTTGTTACACTTAGTAGCCTTATGCCTATCTGTATGGACAACGCTAGAAGATTTTCCGCAATGCTACTAGTGAATTTGCAGCCACGTCCTTGCCTGAAATGCATTTTGCAGTACATTCATTTTTTTCAGGTGCCCGATACCCTCCTTTCTCTCTCCAACCATCATAACCTCATTAGACCATTTCTAATTGTTTCTGTACCTGCACGAAACCCAACTTGCTTCTTTTTTCTTCCTCCGCTATACCTGCAGCATCACAAATCTTTTCTCCTAACCAAATACATTCACAAATAAACATTTAGAGGAAAATCCTTCTATACGCTGAGAGGAAACATGGGGCAAGGGAGGAAGGTTGAACAACTGAAGTTAGTTTGTGACTATACAATCACTGAAAATTTCTTTTGTTCTGTGAAGTTACCTGGGACCACGGTAGGGTCCTTCCATAGGTACGAGGAGACAGCGTTTCAGAGCAATTGTTACTCCAGCGTGGTGCTTCACGCGTGGGGCTGGTGGAGCTTGTACCGAGGGGACGCCGCCACTGAGCATGACGTTTCACAGCTGAGGAGTTTGGCCAGGGCTGGAAACCGCACTTCAGTGCTCAGTTCTGTTAGATAACCTTTTTATCTAATCTACCATATGCCTCAGTCTGAATTTTAGCACGTTACATATATATGAGTCATTATTTTCTTCGGCAGATTTTTTCTAATAGCTGCTCTCTTATGTAAGGTCATCCAGATCACTTAAATTGCATATATACATTACTACAGACATGTAAATTCATACACTTCACTTTGCATGCATAAATGATTCTCCTGAATGGAAAAAGCTAATGTTTTAGACATTTTTAAGACCTTAATCTTCAGTTAAGAAACAAAAAAATCTAATTTCCTAGGCTCTGCTCTCATATTTGCCTTTTCAAATTGTTTCGCAGCCGAGTTTCGCCCTTGCAGCCCTGTGTGCTCTCTCGCGGGGCTGTCGCGAGGACGCTGCCGGGGAGGCTCCGAGGGCCCGGCGGGCCGGTGGGGGT